AAGGAGAGGGAGGAGCAGAAGAGAACAAAACATGCAATATTTTCTTTGAATTACAGCCTCTAAATGAAAGTAAGGAATCAGATACTTGGCAAATATTAAAATAATCTGGGAAAATGCAAAAACAAAAAATAAATGCAAACAAATGAGTGCTGGATGAAAAATAAGGAAATAAAAGAAAAGAGAGAAAAAAAAAGAAAAAAAAAAGAAAGGAAGAAAGAAAGAAAGAAAGAAAGAAGAAATATATATATATACATATGTAAATACCAATAAAAGTATCTCAACTGAAAAAAGAAAAGTATATTTAACCCCTTAACGACGGGTGACACTGATAGGCGTGAAAACAAACCACTCAAAAGCTGGCGTGCTGCTATACGCCGCAGCGGCGCGCCAAAGCACAGCGAGCCAGTGATTCGGGCTGATGTACCGAACTCACACGCTCAAAGCCGGCGCGCTGCCATTGTTTGCCAGAGCATTGATTTTTTTTTCTTTTTCTTCACCCGTCACCACTGGGTTCAGGGCAAATGAAAACTTTCAGGGAAAAAAAATAAATCAAGAAATATATATAGAAAAATCTGTATGCTACAGAGAAAAGATTCCCAATTCCCTGAATGGGTCTTACATATTTAGGAGGATGAATGTAAGCAAAATACATAATACAAAATTTATGTCAATTGATAATTTGCTATATCAATCAATCTTTTTCTAATAAGTTTTCCATTTTTTTCCCCTAAAGACCAGAAAGCAAGATCTAAAAATCATAAGGAGTAAGAAAAAAGACAGAAAGAAAGAAAAAAATGTGTTGCTGCAGCTGTGTTAACTTTATTTAGAATTTACATTTGTCACAATATTCAAGAGTCTGATATGCGTTATACACAAACTGGATATAAAATTAATAATAAAATATAATACAAGGGCAGTTCATTGGGAAAATAAATTTTCTACAATTTTTTTTTTTTTTCAAATAAAGAAAAGAAAAGAAAAGAAAAGAAAAAAAAAACACTCAGCAGCATATATTTTATAAAAGAATTGCTATCATGTTGTCTACTTCTTTCTCTATAAAATCCTAAACTGATATGCTACTGTTCTACTTCTCTCTGTTATAGTAAAGTTGTAGCACTGTAATAATAACAGTGCTTCTTGTTAGTTTTGTTATAAACTTATGCAGTCAGAAATTCCCTTTACATAGTAAAGTCAACTTTCCTGTACATAAAAAAGATTATTAAAATAAAAGAAGTAAAAAAAAAAACAAATAAAAATATCTAATAACTACCTGTTTCCAAAAGGTTAGTCACTCCCTCTCTGGAAACCTACCACATATCTACATAGATACAAGTGTGATCTTGGGATGTCATGGCTCAAGCTTTCATGGGCTGAAAAGACAAAGACCCTGAAAACCTTGTCCCTCACAGTTTTGTAGATAAACCTCCAGAACAGCAAGTTTGGCCCCTTTTCAAATGAGAAGACAGGTCACTGGATGGCAGCCTTTAAGAAAAAGAGAGAGAGAGAGAGAGAGAGAGAGAGAGAGAGAGAGAGAGAGAGAGAGAGAGAGAGAGAGAGAGAGAGAGAGAGAGAGAGAGAGAGAGAGAGAGACAGACAGACAGACAGACAGACAGAGAGAGAGAGAGAGAGAGAGAGAGAGAGAGAGAGAGAGAGAGAGAGAGAGAGAGAGAGAGAGAGAGAGAGACAGACAGACAGAGAGAAAGAGAGAGAGACAGACAGAGAGAAAGAGAGAGAGACAGACAGAGAGAAAGAGAGAGAGAGACAGACAGAGAGAAAGAGAGAGAGAGACAGACAGAGAGAAAGAGAGAGAGAGACAGACAGAGAGAAAGAGAGAGAGACAGACAGACAGACAGAGAGCGAGACAGACAGACAGAGAGAGACAGACAGAGAGCAAGACAGACAGACAGACAGAGAGAGAGAGAGAGAGAGAGAGAGAGAGAGAGAGAGAGAGAGAGAGAGAGAGAGAGAGAGAGAGAGAGAGAGAGAGAGAGAGAGAGAGAGAGAGAGAAATGGTGTTCAGAAGGTAGTCAAGCTTGAAATCCTAGCCTGAAGTACTGCAGAACCTCCAGAGCAATGTTCTTTCATGTGATTTTATTTATTTTATTTTTTTTACTCTTCTAGACCATTTCTTCTATTTTCCTCTGACTGGAATATGGCATGGCTGTGTGTCAGCTGGTTTGTTGTCTTAAAAATGTAAGTTTGTTTTCCTTCCCAATGCAATTTTGGTGAGGTCTGACTACAAAATGAAGGCCACAACAATTACCAGCTTGAATAAAAGCTTTGCTGATTTAGCTTAAGAGGATGTAAATAGAGTAATGTGACACTTTTGGCAATCTGTTGTACATGGTACCTAAATAACCATAGCAGTTACACATTTTTTATATCAATGGTAATGATAACAAAATAAAAAGTGAGACATTCAGATTTCATGGATTTTTAACATATGACAACATTCATGATTGCCTGAGTGTGGTCAGAAGAATCAAAGATTTTGGTGGACTTTTGAGTTTCTGTATAACAAATATACTATACAAGCCAGTGGACGTAATGTCCACAGAATGTCAATCCACTTTCTTCCAGTGTTCATTCTCATGACCACACAAACTGCTGGCACACTTATGCAACCACACACATCTGAACTAATTAATATTCCCATTCTTATAAAGTATCTGCTATATAAAAAATTAAATTTCTAGAAACAATATAAAGATACCAGAACATGTAAGGGAACATGATTCATGCCAATATGCAGGCTTCAATAAAACCAGCATTTTGTACAAATATGTCTAAACACATCTAACTGATCGTCAATGAGTCTACTGTTTTCTAAAAACATAACATCAGGCCTATGGCCTTACAAACGTAGCTGCCTTCTTAAACATATTCACTAGCTTTGGAGGTTCTACTGTCCTGCACGGGTAAGGCTGCATACATAAACCCATAAGCAAACACTGGTGTTCTGAAAAAGGATTTTTCCCCTATTGGGAAATGAAAAACACTAGACTCTTTATTCAGTGGCTCTCGTTGCTTTGTGGAGATAAGACGTTTGTACTTTCAGAAGCCCCATTAAATAAAGTGCTCTAGTATTAATCTTAATAAAACATATACATACAGATTCTCCCCTCTTAGTCCTACTAAGAACACTCCTGGCATACCCCTTTATCTGACTATGCCATCTGTGCGCAGGTCCTTGTTGTGAATGTTTTCTATGTGTTTTTTCAGGGAATGTGGCCGCTTGGCACTGAAGTCACAGTGGGGGCACTTGTGGGGTCTCTCTCCCGTGTGCCGGAGCATGTGCCGCCGAACGTTGTCTGACCGCTTGCTTGTAAACTCACAGTGTGGGCACTTGTGGATTCTGCCCACATGCTCCTTCTTGTGTGTGATCACAATCTTGTGGGTCTTGCACGTGCAGTTGCAATGCTTTCCGGAACACGGCTTAACCTGCGCTGACTGGTCTGAATTCTCCTGCTTGATACATTTGCAGTCGTCATAGTGGCACTCCATTGCCTCCTTCAGGGCCGTGGGGTTGGTTGTGGCCTGGCCCTGCAAGATGTGCATGGGGTGAAATTGGCACCCTTTTGGGCTGTCTTAGGCATTTGGAAATCATTATCTCTAATGTAAATCTAATTCACTCCTGAACAAATGAAACAAAGAAATATAAACATTATTTTAAAACTTCATGGGAATTAAAATTTAGATCCATACTGCTTTATGAACTTAAAGAAATCAATGCTCTTGTACTATGATGCCCTTTACTGAATGAAACTAAAGTATACATAAAACAAGAGAGATTATAGGGAAGAACTGGAAGAAGACTGAGTTGATAATGAAGGGGAAAGCAAAGATGGAGTATATTAAAATTCAGAAGAAAGTTAACAATATCAACAGGAAAAATTACAGGGAATAAGATTATAAAAAAGCAAGTCAAGAGGAACAGGGAAAAGCACAAAAAAGAGGAAAATGAAGCAGATGATGATGAAAAAGAAGATAAAGAAGAAAAAGAAGAGAGGGGGGGGGGGGAGTGACAGAAACCTAAGGAAACAGAAAGCATCACCATACTCCTTCCAAAAATTACCTGTGTAGATGCTGAGGCTCCGGCAAAGTTCCCCGTGAAACCATAGAGAGCATCTCCAGCTTCCTGCAAAGAAAAAAAAGGAAGTTAGAATAAGGATTGGGAGAAGGTATGTACTAACTTAACTGATAAATCAAAAAGACTGCTCTATACATAATAACGAAATATGAATACAGTAACAAGGCAGGAAGAAAATGACAGAGGAAGGAGGAGGAAGAGAGAGAGAGAGAGAGAGAGAGAGAGAGAGAGAGAGAGAGAGAGAGAGAGAGAGAGAGAGAGAGAGAGAGAGAGAGAGAGAGAGAGAGAGAGAGGCAGCAAGAAAACGACAGAGGAAGGAGGAGGAAGAGAAAGAAAGAGAGAGAGAGAGAGAGAGAGAGAGAGAGAGAGAGAGAGAGTGAGAGAGAGAGTGAGAGAGAGAGTGAGAGAGAGAGAGAGAGAGAGAAGGGAGATAGAAGGGAGAGAAAGGGAGGGAGGGAAGGAGGGAGAGAGGGAGAGAGGGATAGAGAGGGAGGGAGGGAGAGAGGAGGGAGAAAGGGAGAAAGGGAGGGGGGAGGGAGGAGGAGGAGGGAGAGAGGGAGAGAGGGAGAGAGGGAGAGAGGGAGAGAAGGGAGAGGGAGAGGGAGAGAGAGAAAGAGTGGGAGAGGAGAGGGAGAGAGTGGGAGAGGGAGAGGGAGGGAGAGAGAGAGAGAGAGAGAGGGAGAGGGAGAGAGAGAGAGAAGGGGAGAGGGAGAGAGAGAGAAAGAGTGGGAGAGGAGAGGAGAGGGAGAGAGAGAGAGAGAGAGAGGGAGAGAGAGTGGGAGAGGGAGAGAGAGTGGGAGAGGGCGGGAGAGGGAGAGGGAGAGGGAGAGGGAGGGAGAGTGGGAGAGGGTGAGAGAGGGAGAGGGAGAGAGAGTGGGAGAGGGCAAGAGAGGGAGAGGGAGAGGGCAAG